TCATCCCAAGGGACGACCAAGGGTTGCTGCTGGGATGACGCTGGTTGGAGCTGGGGCGAGTTGTGTTGCCCTGTAACCCAGCAGGGTAGGGGCGTAAGGCCTGGAAGAACTCAGCAGGGAGTAAGACGGTGTTGGGAAGTCTTAGAAGGGTTTGCCAGGGAACCTGAGAGTAGTGAGCATTCGTAGGACCTCTGTTTCACAGTTTGTTCTCAGCCGAAGCCGGGTAATGGCCCCGGTATCTCAAATGACCTCAAAAGCCCTCAAATGTTATCGATGATCGGTATAATTCAATATGGGACGCTGGGCCCGGTTCCCAGCACGTGCTGCTCCCCACGAATAGACTGGAGCATTTGTTCAAAAAAAAAAAAAAAAAAGAAGAAGGGTACATAAAACAACTTGCTCATATACTACAAATACAGCAACAGGTTATAGACTACACAACGACATAGCATATACAGAGGTTCAATACAGAGAACTATGTAGTCACAACGAATTTTGTCACGATTGGCATGTTTAGTCGGTTGGCATGTTTAGTCAGGTGGGCGTTATGATGTGAACAACAGCTGTGCTTGTGGGGTATACTCGGGTAGCTCAGGGGCTGTTACAGGTTAGACCTTGGCCTTACCCATTAGATGCTGCCTGTGGGAGCTCAGGGAGAATGCTTAGCCATATAGGGGGACCTGGGTACTGAACTTTGGGCGTACTTAGGGTCTATCCATGAGGCCTGTGGAGAGAATGCTTACGCCTACCGCCCGAAGGACCTGCACAATAGGGCTCATTCAAATATGCTTCAATGGGGGCTGAGTGGGCCTCCTGCTTCGCACCGGTGCCTGCAGGCACCGCTGTCCTGTCAGGTCACCCCACCTAAGATGGTAGAGGGGTGATTCACCTGAGTGGTAGACACTGAGGTAGGACTGAGGGAGTGGGGGTGCGCCAGGGAGGGTGGGTGGGGTTTCTTGAGGGGTAAGACCCGAAAAAAGGGAAAGAAAAGAAGCACAAGTAGGGCCTATCTCTTCCCTATCAGTCGCTGCTCGCAGGGGGTGGAATTTGACTCGAGGTAACGGCCATTAGATTTGCACACAGACCTACCAGGTAGGCGTGGTCCAGTAAGCAGTAAGCTGTAGCTGCCACACCGGTGGGAGCCCCTAAGGCGTACGATGACCTCGACGGAGTTACTTGTGAATGGGAGTATGGCCCTTCGTCCACCATTCCTGGATGCATATGACCGCAAATTTGCGACTACATTGAAGCTCGAGAAAGGCCTGTTCCAATATTGTTCTGAAGCAGGAGGGGGGATTCAGAGGCTGGACGGGATGTAGCAATTGTAGACGCAAGCTGACGTGGTCCTGCATTGATGGAGACTGCCATGTGGTATCTGTATGATGTGGCAATTGTGGATGCAAGGTGATTGACCGGCGGAGGGTTTCTGGGCACGTCAATTGGTTTTGTTTTCTCAGATTTCTCTTTTCTTCCCCCCAATTTTTCGAAATGGCAGCCTCGAACACGACGAGATTTGAACCATTGCCCTACGTTGATTATTATTATCATTATTATTATTATTATTATTATTATATTATTATTATTATTTTTTTTTAACTGATCAGAACAGATACTACACTTGATCTTAGCCAAAAGGCCGAGAAAGGTATATTGCCCTACGTTGATTAGGGCACACTCACACTTGGGGAAAAAAAAAAAAAAAAAAAAAACACTCACAGTTGGGCTCTGCGAATAGCGCGTGCCCATTTTTGTGGTCAGGTCCTTCGGGACATCCGTTAAAATTGGAACGATACAGAGAAGATTAGCACGGCCAAATAAAATTTTATGTGCTCAGATACGTCCAGGAAAGTCCAAATTTGAATGTCCTTAGAAGAAGATGGTGCATCTTTGGCCCTCGCCACACTACTCACAAAACGATAAAATCTGGAGTGCATATGCGCACAAAAGATGGCTAGATGCATCGGCTACTATTCGTAGTATGGGATGCATCTTTCCACCTGTAAGGATGTGCATTCACCGTTTCTCACGCTTCGTCAGTGGTATGGCCAGGCTCTTTACTGCAGGCAGGCTTCTGGTATAGGTTGATGAAGTGCCTTGGACTTGTGTTGCCACGTCAGCACTATCGTTTACGATTGCTGACGTGGCGCCAAGAGGGTAGTCGCACTAATTGATGACGGTCTTCCGTCTTTTTTTTTTTTTTTTTTTTTTGGTCGGCGGAAAGTAGAAAGCTTTAATGTAGGTCAGAGATACATTCA